ATACATATAAGAGAAAAGCATTATGATGACTAATCAGCTCAAAATCAATGATTCCCTTTTTGCATTATAAATGATGAGGTTTAGAGTGGACAGCTTTTAGCATGAGTGCTGGTGTGACTTTGGGAGGGGGCGGGGAGAGAATCACACAAATGCCATGGAGCACCATTCTTCAGGCTTCGAAGACAGGTTTTGTAGAGAATTTCTTCTTTAGCATCAGAAAGCAGTGAGGATGGTCAGGAGACAACAAGACAAAGAAAACACGAGTGTCATCCTCAAATGTTGCAAGAACCGCAGTGTGAAGAGAGCTACGTTTTTGATATAGTTCCGAAGAGCAGCACTAAGATCAACAGATAAAAGTTACCAGGAGACAAATTTCACCTACATGTGGCCTGTCAGGTGGGAAAAAGACTAGAAACATTAGTGATGTGATTAGGTTGCTCACTGAGAATCTGAAGCAGGACATTTTTTTTTTTTTTAGTATCATTTCATTTTAAGTTCCAGGATACATGCGCAGGACATGCAGGTTTGTTGCACAGGTAAATGTGTGCCGCAGTGATTTGCTGCACCTGTCAACCCATCACCTAGGTATTAAGCCCTGCATGCAGGAAATTCTTAACCTTTGTAGTGGAAGAAAATATTATCAAAGGAAGTAAGAATTTTCGGTTAGCTTGTGGGCAGTCATTTGAGGACACCCACCCAATTTCCACATGGACAACCTCTCTGTCCATGTGGAAATTCTCTACAAAACCTGACTTCGAAGCCTGAAGAATCTCATGATCCCCTGAAATTCCAGGCAGCCAAGAAAGTGAAAGGCAGCCTTTGTAGGAATTGTCAGTGACAGGACGCTCATCACCTCCTGTGGCTCTTCCAGTTTTTGAATGGCTTTCATTACTGGAAAGGTCACCCTCACACGTAGGTGAAATGTGCCTCCTGGTAACTTTTATCTGTTGGTCTTAGAGCTGCTCTTCGGAACTATGGGGAAAACCTAGCTGTCTTCACGCTGCGGTTCTTGCAACATTTGAGGATGACACTAGTGTTTTCTCTGTCTTCTTGTCTCCTGACCATCCTCACTGCTTTCTGATGCTAAAGAAGAACATTCATCACTACTCGGCCACCTTCCAGGTCTGAACATGTGGGGTCCATATGTTGTTCATATATGGAGAAAGAACTGTGGGATTGTTGCCCACCTTTGTTTACAACACTATACCTCTATTAACCAGCTGCTAGTGTTTTAGCAGCTATTGGATCCTGCCTACCTTAAAATCTGAATTTAAGCCTTCTATTCCCTCACATTTCCATGTACCTGAGGAGTTGGAAAGAAGCAGAAACAAATTTTCTGACCTGTCACTATTGACCTGTTTTGCTTCGATCCAGGCCTTTGTGGTATTTGATGTTAGAATCTTAGGTAAGTGGATATATTGCATACTTTACATAGTTTTGCATTTTTAATATGATAGGATCACACAAAAATCCACGTTCTCCTTTGGGAATGGTGGCTGGAGCTTTGTTAGATTTTTGACAAAAATTATATGTGCTGGTCATAGCCACGTAAACAGTTCAACCAGCTGAAGGTGTTATCAATAAGGAACTAATGCCGCCAGAATTAGGAGTTTGAGGGCATTTGTGTGCAATGTTGACAGAGCAATGGGAATCTCTTACGCTATTCTGGGAATCCTCTTTGTGTGCCTGGTGCGGGCGTTAGGGTCTACCTGAGCAAATTGTGCCAGGCAAAGCCCCAGCCTTCAGTGTGAAGTACAACCAGTATATCTACCCTTGAGCAGGCCTTCCAAGAGCATGTGCTGGGTGGACAAATTCATTCAAAAGTATACTTGTTATACTTTTCTGAACCATTAGGTCGTACCTGTGGACGTATCTGGTTTGAGTGGACTGAGCTGGTCAGAAAATCTCTATCTCCCTCATTATTAATTTGATGACCTTCTTGGATTAGAAAGAGTAGCCAGCTCAGCAGGGGGCAGACTTGGCCTGGGGAAGGCAGGCAGGAAGGGCCTCTCTTTTCCCATTTCCTTGTGCTGAATCGTTAGCCTGAATCCCAGGAGCCCAGGGGTGTGTCTTCTTTCTTTGAACTTCTTGAGCACTGTGGTCTACATTAAACACTTGGGCATTTACACATTTCATTAATAAGCCTGTTAACCTTTCCCCATGGGTACATATTGCCTCTCCAGCTAGATTGTTCCATCTTTTGCATCCTCTACACTCAAGTGTGGAGTTTTACCCATCAAAAGGCCTAGATAGATAGATGTAGAATTAAACCATGAAGATCTGAGAAGGTTCAGCTTCTTCCTCAGAAGAAAGGGCAAGAGAAAAAGGAAAACAGACTTAGGAAATTCCTATCTTATGCCAGACACTGATCTGGGAACTTTACATTTGTTATTCCCTGCAAATCTCCATAAGACCCTCAAGTAAGCATTATCATCCTCATTTTGCAGAAGAAGAAACTAAGTCTCAGAGAAGTCAGGGAATGTATCCAAGTTCATGCAAAGCATAAGAGACCAGGCGAGGCTTGACCTCAGGTTCCTCCACCTGCGGGAGCAGCAGTGTTAGGAGACTGTCCTGCCCTGGGAGGGGGCCACAGGGCTGGGTGTGAAGACACGGTTTGTGGCTGTAGCTGCTGCATGGCCACCTTTGAGTTACCAGCCAGGACCATCTCACTGCTGAAGACAGATGGGAGAAGGGCCAGGCCTGAAAGAACAAAGAGGCACATACATCATCAAGGAAGGTGGAACCATGAAGAAGGAAAAAGAGAGAGAGGAATATCACAGATTGCTTACAGTTCTCTAAACAGGAGGAATCTCACGTCTGCTCAGCAGAGTAATGTGCTCATCAATGAAGTAGCTGTAACCCCCTGAAAAGGCAAAGCAGTGACATGAGTTTATCTTAGTCCCTTCTTTCAAAAGCAGGAAGACATGTTTTTTTGCTAGAGATGACAAGGATTTTTAATGTTGTTGTAGAGCTTTGAAAACTTGGATCCCAATCATTGGATCATGTTTGCAAACTTTATTAGTCAGTTTGCACCTGTTGCAGTAAATAAACCTTGATACCTCAATGGCTCACATGACAAAGATTTCCTTCTGGCTTGTGAAAACTCCAGTGTGGGTTGGGTAAGCCTCCAGGGCAGCTGTCCTTGTGGTGACATGGGGATCAAGGCTGTTTCCATGCATGGAGGCCACCGTCTCAGCACATGGCTTCCAGATTGCTGTGGCAGCCAGTGTGGAAGGTCAAGAACCAGCTTTAAATTTATTTAGTTTTTATTTTTGGGGGACAAGGTCTCTGTCACCCAGGGTGGAGTGCAGTGGTACAATGATAGTTCACTGCAGTCTCGAACTCCTGACCTCAAGTGATTCTCCCACCTAGTCCTTCAACAGTGTTGGGATTACAGGCATGAGCCACTGTGCCTGGTCAAGTACCAGTTTTTACAAGCTTCAGCATGGAAATGTCACAGGTCACTTCCACTCACTGTGCCTTGGCCAGAGCTACTCACATAGCACTGCCTCACCACGGAGCAAAACTGTGCTGGGAAGGGTGGGGGAACATTTGGGTAGTCAATGACTTTCAGATGTCCTGACACATTTTCCTTACTCTCTTCCACTCAACACGCTTCCTAAGGCAGCTCATTGCTCTTGGAAAGAGTATAGACTCCCTAATACAGCTTGTAGGCCCCTGGCCTTGGCCTCCACCTTCCAGTCGCATTGAACATTTTCCGCTGAGTCTCTTGGCTGAGCTTACCTTCTCTTACCTTCTACCTTGATCTTCTGCCTGCCTGAAATATTCTCCCCTTTCTGCTTTTCTGGCCAACTCCTTTGCTTATGTGGAGGCTTAGCTATCACTTCTTAAGGAAACCTTTCCTGAACCTCTAAATCTGGATCAAGTCCTTTCTTTGAGTATCCAGGCATCCTTTATTTCTCCCGTTACATTGCACTGTGGAAATTCAGTATTTCTTTTCTTTTCTTTTTTGAGACAAGGTCTTGTTTCATCATCTAGGCTGGAGTGCAGTGGTATAATCTCAGCTCACTACGACCTCCACCTCCTGGGTTCAAGTGATTCTCCTGCCTCAGCCTTCCAAGTAGCTGGGACTACAGGTGCATACCACCATGCCTGGCTAATTTTTGTATTTTTGGTAAAGACAGGGTTTCAACATGTTGACCAGGCTGGTCTTGAACCCCTGACTTCAAGTGATCCACCCACCTTGGCCTCCCAAAGTGGTGGGATTACAGGCATGAACCACCAAGCCTGGCCGGAAAGTCACTATTAACTAGTCTGTAGTCTATTAGACTGTGGCTCTGTGACACTTGGGACCATTGTGAGAGCAGCCCCTGGGCACAGTGGCCCTCACACAGTAGATGCTTCATTAGTATACCTTGCATAAAGGAAGAAGGGAAGGAACTTCCTTTGAGGCTGAATGTAGATGATGATACTGTTGCAGATTTTATTCTAAAGTTAAAAAAGCAAAGGCAGTAGAAAAGGCAAGAAACTTGAAAAAGAATAATGGAGAGATTTTCACATTCTTCGAGGTGAAGATGAACTATGGAGTTTCAGTAATTAAAAGAGAGAGATGCTGGTGTAGGAATAGACCAAGAGACAGATAGAATAAAATAAAGAGTTGACATTGCAGTCTTGATTCTGAATTCTGTAGGCCGGGCCAGGCAGGCTGGAAACTCGGGTAGTTTCTGTATTGCATTCTTGAGGCAGAATTGCTGCATCTTTGGGAAATCTCCGTCTTTGCTCTTAAGGTGTTCAACTGTATGAGTATTATACATGGGAAATTGGCATGCGATAAAGGAGGCACATTATTTTATTTTATTTTATTTTATTTTGAGACAGAGTCTCACTCTGTCACCCAGGCTGGAATGCAGTGGCACAATCATGGCTGCCTACACCCTCGACCTCCAGGGCCAAGCCATCCTCCCACCTCAGCCTCTTGAGTAGTTGGGACTATGGGCGTGTGCCACCATGCCCCACTAATTTCTGTATTTTTTTTGTAGAGATGGGTTTTTACCTTGTTGCCCAGGCTGGTCTTGAACTCCTAGACTCAAGCGATCCACTCATCTTGGCCTCCCAAAGTGCTGGGATTACAGGTATGCACCACTGTGCCCAGCCTCAAAGGAGGCATTTTAAATCAGTGGAGAAAAAATGAATTATTGAACAAATTATTTTTATGCAATTGGCTATTATTTGTAAAATTAAAAAATTCAGTAATTTAATAATTAAAAAATAATCTTAAATAAGATTTAAGTTAAAAAATTAAAAAATAAAGTCATATCCCTAACGTGTTTTCCTATGTGGTTCTCATCTATGCAAGTTTCTTTCCTTCTGTATTGCAGAAAATGAATAAATTGGAAAGTAATTAAGGACCTAAAGCAAATGCATGGTTTTGAGGGAGGCTTTTGTGTGCCTGGCAGTGTGCTCTGTGACTGGCCACCAAGTGTTATTAGCTTGGGTGTCTAAGAAATCCTTTCTCATCCAGTCTGAAAGATTCAGGTTGGAATACAGGATATTTTTATTAAAAGTTCTCCCCTCTCCATAGTCGTATTATAGATGAACACTGTGCTGGCTCTCTGTACATCAGGACAACCAGTCTTGTTCCTCCATAGGCCTTTGGCAGAGCAGGGAGCTAAATGGGCAAGTTCATGCCATGCACTTCAAAGGCAGCTGGTTACGTCAAGTCTCATTATAATGAAAGATGAAAATGAAAGGTGACTGTCTAAACTTTGCCCTGTCTTGGTATTCAAATGCCACATGAATGCTGGTTTACTGAACGCAAAACCAGAAAAATATAGTGACTATGCACTGTCTTGTGTACTTTGTACCCAAGACAAATGGGTACAAAGGAGGTACAAGGAGGACCTTGTTGGCATGACAAAGTTACTGTCATACCATTGAATGCATTTCTGTTGTTGCTCCTGTTTTTGGTCTGTATTGACTTGTATTGCACTGTAGTATTCATTTAATATAAAAGCAAAGCATGCTTTGGATACTAAGTCCTAAACCAAACATGTAAAATACAGGGCTAGCCTCCTGAAAGATTTCTGGATAAATGTGAATATACACAACAGATAAAAATCAGTTGCAATTATTCATATCACAAAATGATACTTAGCATGAAAAAGATTCAATGCAGCGTCTTTAAAGAGAATTTTCCTAATTTAGATGAAATATAATATGGTCAATGTCAATGTACCTTTAAGAGCAAAATCTGTAATGAAGCCCGATATAGTACATTTTACAATTAAAATATTTCAAGTCCCCCAAATTCATGGTAAGTGCAAATAGGACTTTTATTCCTCTCTGTCTGTCTGTCTGTCTGTCTGTCTCTCTCTCTCTCTCTCTCTCTCTCTCTCTCTCTCTCCCCCCTCTTCCCTCCCTTTGTCTTGTGTTTTACCAAACTGTAGTTTAAGATATACAAACTTCTGTCCCTTGCACACACTTCAAGTTGCCTTATGATTGGGGATGTCTAGCAGCTAAAGGGTAGAAAGCTATGAGAAACTGAAAAGGAGCTTTGGCCACAGTTAAAGTAAAAACAGAATTGCAGAATTTATACAATTTGTCTAGCTAATTAAGCAAAAATCCACAAGACAGAATAGCAATAGTGAGCTGAAAGAATGTGCCCAATGGGATACAATTCATCATTTAAACCAATTCTGGTTTCCTATATCAGCTTTACTGGTTGAACAGGCATAATTCCCTGAAAATCTGTGGTTAATGTCTCAGGTTGAATTAATGCATTAAGGAAATGTCAACATTTTAGCTGTTATGTAGCTTTGTTTCTTATTTTTATTTTTTATTGTTTTGAGATGGAGTTTCACTCACTTTGTCGCCCAGGCTGGAGAGCAGTGGTGTGATCTCAGCTTACTGCAGCCTCCACCTCCCAGGTTCAAGTGATTCTCCTGCTTCAGCCAACTGAGTAGCTGGGATTACAGATGCATGCCACCACACCTGGCTAATTTTTGTTATTTTTGGTAGAGACGGGGTTTCATCATGTTGGCCTGACTGGTCTTGATTTCCTGACCTCAAGCGATCCACCGGCCTTGGCCTCCCAAAGTGCTGGGATTACAAGTGTGAGCCACCACTGCTTTTTTTTTTTTTTTTTTTTTTTTTTTTTAGTAGAGATGGGATTTCACCATGTTGGCCAAGCTGGTCTCAAACTCCTGACCTTACATGATTGGCCCGCCTCAGCCTCCCAAAGTGCTGGGATTACAGGTGTGAGCCACCACACCCAGCCTACTTTGTTTTTTTAAAAAACAAAATCTCCCAGTGCTTTGGGAGGCCAAGGCAGGAGGATTGCTTGAGGCTAGAAGTTCGAGATCAGCTGGGCAACATAGCAAAATACTGCCTCTACAAAAAAAAAAAAAAAAAGAGAGAGAATAAAATAAGCTGCGTGTGGCAGCACGTGCCTATAGTCTCAACTACTTGGAGGCTGAGGTGGGAGGATCACTTGAGCCCAGGAGCTCGAGGCTGCAGTGAGCTGTGATTGTGCCACTGCACTCCAGCCTGGGTGACAGAGAGAGACCTTGTCTCTAACAACAAAAACAAACAAACATACCAAAACAAACAAACAAACAAACAACAACAAGAAAACAACCCACCCAAACCCCAAAAACTAAGGGCATGAGTTTGCAAAGAATCAGATAGGACTTCACATGACTTTGCCAGTCTCTGCATCTTGCGCCTGTGCTGAAATGAGCTTATTTATATTCAAGTGTGAGGCCTGAGGTTAGGGCTTGTCTCTAACTCAGTTTCTGTACCACCACAGAGCTGCCCACCTCTCTTGCCCACTGGCTGGCTTGACCCCAGCCATGGCTTGTGCTGCTCCTGCAGTCACAAAGTCAGTTCATTGCTGCCATTGTTGCTGCCTGTACTACAGGCCAAGTTGCTCTCCATGCAATACTAAATTGGCTAGAAGAAGATTCACCTGAAGAGGCTGGGGCATGTATCTAGAAAGCACGGAGAAACTAAAACCCCCTGTTGCCAACTTTGCCTAGCAGTAGGTGGTGGATAGGAAGGGACTGGCTAATTAGTTATTTTCCTTTCTCCACCTCATGCCCCGCCCCACATACAGTTCTGAGATGCAAGCATCCATGTGACCTTCCTGAAGACATTATATGAGATCAAGCCATCATCCAGGCTATTATAAAGCAGCTCAGTAGGCCGGGCACTGTAGCTCACGCCTGTAATTCCGGCACTTTGGGAGGCCAAGGCAGGTAGATCACCTGAGGTCAGGAGTTCGAAACCATTCTGGCCAACATGGTGAACTCCCGTCTCTACCAAAAATACAAAAATTAGCTGGGCATGGTGGTCTGTGCCTGGAATCCCAGCTACTTGGAAGGCTGAAGCAGGAGAATCACTTGAACCTGGGAGGTGGAGGTTGCAGTGAGCTGAGGTTGCACCACTGCACTCCAACCTGGGCAACAAGAGCAAAACTCCGTCTCAAAAAAAAAAAAAAAAAAAAAAAAGAGAAAAGTAGCTCCGTAACCCATGCCCTTGTGTTTGGTCTTCCTCTTCCTTGCCTCATTGGTCTCCCTCATACTCCTGCTTCCCCAGGATTGCACTTGTCAGTGAAGTCTTAGCACATAAACGTGTGCCCCAGGCTCTACTGTCCAGGGAAACGTGGCCCTAGAAAGCAGAGCTTCTGATGGGTTTTGGTAGCAGCAAGTGGATGGTGACAATCTTTGACATTCTGCAGCATCACAATTACAAAAACTTTATCTGAAGCTAATTAGGATGAGGTAGAGGAGGAAGCCAAAATACTGACTTAACAAGACACTGAGACACTTGATGCATTTTGGAGCAATAATAACCCTAAGGACTTGGATGTGGGCGGTAACTTTTGAAGGCATTGGAAGCCTTGCAAAAAGAAAATAACAAGTGTAGGGCAGCTAATTGCCACCTTGAGGCCCTGTCTAAAAGCCAGAGTATTTCTGAAGTCACTTGAGAGGAGGTTCTCATCTCTAAAACCCGCAGGATAGAAGGTTCTTAAACCCAGGGTCTCATTATAAGGGTGGCAGAAATGCAAAAGAAGCAAGATGCACAGCCTCAACAGCTCCTCAGTGTCAAAGTAAAGACCTGATGGGAGAGTAGACCACCAAGACCTTGGATGGTGATGTTTGCATGGCCAAGGCTGAGAATATTGTAGCCCTCAATTCCCTGAAGCTTCCTGGCTGGCAGAAGCTGTTCCCAACAACTTGGGGAGAGAACAGCCTCCTCTTCCCAGGGCATTAGACTATGACCTCACCTGGAGGTGCTCCACACATTGACCATTGTTTTTCTCCAGACATGTCTCCACTATCTCTCATTATTTCCTGGTTAACACCCAGAGTTAGGCCTGGGCACAGCTTCAATGAGGAAGTACAATCCCTGCTCCAGGAGAAAACAGTCTATGTGTTGAAGGCTTACAGGAGCTGGCAAGCATGAATTAGCAAACACCTTGTAGTAGCGTATCTTGAGGGTGTTAGATCATCATGATTACCTGGAGCTGCTCCTAATAATCTTTTGAGACAGCTCCATGATGTTTAGATAGGATGATGGCTGCAATTGATAAGGTGGAAATGCTGGAGCATATCGGGCATTATTTCGAGAAAAGGGCTAAGGCTCAAGCAGTTGGGAATGTTAGAATGAATTTACTATGTAAATCCTGAGAACCTGCCACATCACTGTGTTTCCTGAAAAAGACCGGGAGACACTTTTGCTATGAATGCAGCAGGAATACTCAAGTGAAGGGCTCACTAATATCTTTGAGAAGCTTAGTGTCTGTCTTCTGTAGGCAGGGGTAGTGGGTACAGACACTTCCATGGAACTGAACTTCTTCTTCTTTTTTTAATAGGAATCTCACTCTGTCGCCCAGGCTGGAGTGCATTGGTGCAATCCGGGCTTACTGCAACCTCTACCTCCTGGGTTCAAGCAATTCTCCTGCCTTAGCTGAGATTACAGGCACCCATCACCATGGCCAGCTAATTTTTGTATTTTTAGTAGAGATGGGGTTTCATCATGTTGGCCAGGCTGGTCTTGACCTTTGACCTCAAGCAGTCCTCCTGCCTCGGCCTCCCAAAGTGCTGGGATTACAGGCATGAGCCACTGCACC